AAAAAGAAATATGAGAAAAGGAAAAAAATGGAAATCAAGTCTTTCCAAATAGGGAAGGGTGGGCAGGGGAAGGGGAAAAAAATAAGAACCTAGATACTCATGTAAAGGTACAAGATCCCAATGATGAATGTAACTGTATTTTATACCTAAAATGTACCAATAACTTAATGGGGGGGGGGAATATATATATGTATATGTATGTCAAGACATATCACAGTCAAATTTCTGAAAACTAAAGAATACATGCATATGTGCACACACACACACATACATTTGTCTTGAAAGCAACAAGGGAAAAATGATACCTCACACCTCTGGGGAACAAAAAAATACAAATTACAGCCAATTTCTCACCAAAAATCTTATCATGGATGTTAGAAAAAATGGCATATTTCTCAAATGCTACAATGAAAGCATTACTGTCTCAGAATTCTAGATTGAGCAAAAGTAACTTTTAAAAATGAAGGAGAAATGAGAAATCAAAATATATTCTGATTTTAAAAAAATACTACAGAGACTTGTTGGCAGACCCATCCTACCTAAAAGAATAGCTAAGATATACTGTACTCCGTAAACATAGAGACAACACTAAACGCCACCTGGGGACATATTTGGTTTCAGATCTCTTTCAATCCTTGCTGGCATGCCATCAAAAATTCCAGTATCTGGGCCGGGTATTTAGCTCAGTGGTTCCGCCGCCTGCCTTGCAAGCGCAAGGACCAGAGTTCAATCCCCAGGTACCAAAAAATAAAAATAAAATAAATTTAAAAAAATTTTTTTAATTCCAGTATCTGATTAATAATTGCTTTGAGCTAGGGATGGCAGATAATAGGATGAATGGTAAAGGATTTTTTTAAAGTGATAAAAATTTCTTAAAGTGACTATGATAATACTTCCCCATATCTGTGAATGGACTAAAATCCATGGAATTGTATACTTCAAAACGGGGAATTTTACAGAATATGAATTATATCTCAATAAATCCATTTTTCAAATGGCTGAAACAAAATCTAATCAGTTTAGAAGAAATAGAGGAAACAGACAGGTCTACAAGAAAGCAACCATAAAATCTAAAAGCCAAACAATTCTTTGTTTAAAACAACTGATCCAATTTCCTTAACAAGTCAATGGCATAAAAATAAAGTTAAAAGTTGGAGGAGCAAGAAATTGCTTTACTTAAAAAAGAAAAAATGAAAAAAGCTTCACTAGTCTAACACTAAATTCCATCTGTGAGGGCCAGGGATTTAGCTCAGTGGTTCCACCACCTGTCTCACAAGTGCAAGGACCCGAGTTCAATCCCCAGTACCAAAAATAAATAATAAACAAATAAATAAATAAATACCACCTGTGAATCTTACTTGGATTCTGATATGAATAAACCAACAACAGTAAAAAGACATTTATGAGACAATCAAGGAAATTTAACCTGCACTGGGTAGTAAATGATAAAGAATTACTGTTAATTTTGTGAAGTGTGATAATAGCACTGTAGTTAAATAAGAAAATGTCAATGTGTAAATTGGTTTGAAGACTCCAATAATTAAAAAGTACTTTTTCAGAGAGACTACAAAGAAAAAAATTGAAGTCAACAAGCACTGACTCCACTTCGAAGAAATTTTATTGCAAAGAAATTTTGGGAACTGGAGACTGGTGGGAAAATTATGGCAAAAAATTTCAGGATTTTTTTAAATGGGAAAAAATTACAACATATTTGAATACTGACAGGAATGATCCAGTAAATAGGCAAAAAAAGATGTTATAACAAAGAGAAGGGAGAATTACTCAAGTACTGTACTTGAAGAATTAAGAGAAGATAATTCCTGATTGGGTAGAAAGAGAGGTGGAGTCACAGTACCAGAATAAAAGGACAAAAATGATAAGAGGTGGGAACTAGAGAGTGGGAAGTAGGAAACCAAGGTTACACATGAGTTATAGATATTCATAATGACCAAATCCAGCCCCTGACTACAGAAATTCTGAGTCGGTGAGGTAAATTCAGGGTGCAAGATAGTATTACCAGAGGAGAAGAGTTCAAAACATCGATAGCACTTCGGAAGGATCATCTCTATGTACACTGAAATCAAAGTTCCAAATATTCTAAAATTTCTCCAAAATTCATGTTAATGTTATTAAAAGGAAACTTTTTAGCTCAGTGGTTTCGCTGCCTGGTGCGCAAGTGCAAGAACCCAAATTCCATCCCCGGAACCAAAAAAAAAAAAAAAAAAAAAAAAAATGAAACTTCGTATTTTAAAATTTTAGAAAGACAAAACTTATAAACAAGTCAATATAAGTCAAGCAAAATGTCATTTTCCTAGCGTAGTATGTTTCTTCTATAATTAGTACATTTTTATAGCTAAATAGAAAATATTTATAATACATTTTTATTAGTGACTATTAATTTTACAAAATATTGGGTTTCGATATCGTATTTTCATACATGTGTGTATTTTAATCATATCCAACCCATTAGCTTCCCATCACCCCTAGATTCCTTCATTTTCACCTAGATTCAGAATCATCTTGGGTCTTAAAAGTTCTAAATATAAAATTCCTAGTTTGACTAAACCCTACATACAGTTTCAGCATTAACTAGGAAACCAAGGCTTGCTCTATGCCCTTTTCCTAAGTCGGGCTTCAAGAGTGAGGTGGCAACACGTGCGCTGATGAGACTAGCGACAACATCCTGCTTACTGGCTCCCATCTTCCTGCTGTCTCACTGCCAGTGAGACACCTGTAACATACTACGGTTTTAATACGCTACTTACTGCGCTGTGAGGGGAGGTACTGCCAACAATGTTGAGGTTTTTGAGCAGTTGAGGGGAACCACTGTACTGTCCAGAGATCTGCTTCCTAACTTCAGCTGCCACAGTTCTGTAACAAAAACAGCAAATACATTATCTACATTTTAAAAATACATAAACAACCACATTTAAAACGGAAGCTTCATTTAAAAAAACAATAAAGTGTTAATAAGTCTAGAAATTCATAGAGTAGTTCAAGAAATAATTTTCTAGCTTCTAAGTACATTGAAACATGTATGTAATGCTGACACAGGATAAAAAGTTATACCCAACTTATATAAGGCTTATCCTAACATGGCATTGTAAGGAATATACTTTGTTTATGATAAAGCTAGTAGCTATAAAAAGATGTATATATCAATATATGTGTATTTTAAAGATATAAAATTAATTCCAAAAACTTCATAAACAAATCAACATATACACAATAAGAGGAAGAAAAAAGTCTCCTGTCTAATATTACTGGCTTCTGATTCATCCCCCAGAAAGCTATTCTCTACTTAGTAAAAAAAATGCCCTCATTTCCCAGCACTAATAGCTTTCCATAATTTGACTCTTAATTTACCTCTCCAGCCTTTCATGTTCTTTTCCAAATTCCTGTGAATGAACATGAACTGCTCCCTCGAATGCTGCTTCCCTCCCACACTGACCAACCCAATCTCAACTACTTTTAAAGGTAAAAACTCAAATGCCAATATTTTCATGCAAACTTCTTGGCTCATCACAGCTAAAAATAATACCACACTTCTTTAAAACCTTAGAACATTTATCAAACCTAGCTTGCATTTTCCTCCTTCCTATTTATTTTTCACACGTTTCCTGTGTGCTCTATAGAATGTTTATATCCTGCTAATATGAATAAATATACACTGCTACTGAACTTGCTGACAAGTTGAGTAACCAAAAAGGCATTACCATAACTTAGCAGATAAATCTTTCACTGAAAAATCAGTTAGAGTTCAAATTAAACTTCAATTAAGAGTTTACAAGATTTCAAGTAGTTGTTGACCTCTAGGGGCATATTAGTATTCCAAATTTACTTAAAGAAATAGTGTTTCTCAACAAAAAATATTTTGGACACTCAAATGAACTTACAGACCATGAATCTCTATATACTTCATAGTCCACAAAATATTCAGTGAGCCATAAATCCTGCAAATGGGTAACTTTGCACGTTGTGTCAGTAAGTTTTGTTAGGCCTATGACATTAACTCACAAATGCAAACTAAAGACCACTAGCTGCAGATTTTGTGTGATTATGTTCCTCATGCCAATAACCCCTCATGGTGGTCAAGTAAGCACATCCCTTTTTATAAAATTCATCTTCTGTAACTCTTTTCCCAAAGATAAAACTCTTTCCACCATTTTGATATGGACCTAAAGGCCTGATTTCTCAGCCAGCTCAAAGACAGTTCTGTTTTGGACTGTTCTCAAGTTACTGGTTGAATTTAAAGCCCTGAACATCTTGGTCCCCATCAGAATTCCCAGCCTAGCTTCAAAAAATCTCATATCTCAAAAATTACCCAGACTTAGTATATAATCTTCCCCTTACTTCCTCTCTTCAATATTCTTCCTTCTTTCACTTTCAATCATTCCACACACATTTACTCCCCATTATTACGAGCTGAATGCGCAATTAGGAATTTCTGGTTCAACAGTAAAAGACTCTTTAAGGTTCAAGATCCTGAATTAGCTCAACTTTTTTAACAGGTAACTTGAGAGAATTTAGATTATATTTATGTTTGAAAAGGCTGAATCATTATTCTTTTTTTCTTGCTTTTTTTAAGGTCTTCTATGTAGTGCAGGCTAGCCTTGAACTCATTATGCAGTACAGGCTGGCCTCAAACCTACCCCAATCCTCCTGCCTCAGCCTCTCCTCAAGTGCTGGGATTACAGACATGCACCACCACACCCAGCCTAAATCATTCATAATTGCCAAAACTTAGAAGCATGAAGCTGTCCTTCAATGAGTGAAAGGATAAAAAAAAGTATGATATATCCATCTACTGAAATATTATTTGATAATTTTTAAAAAACCAAGCTAAACAAGCCACATAAAACTATTGCTAAGTGAAGAAGCAAAAGTGAAATGGTTATATATTATATGTTTCCACCTATATGACATACAGTACTGGAAAAGAGAAAACTATGGAGAGTAAGATTAGACGTTGTCAAAGGTGGCAGCGGGGAGAAACAATGAATAACTAGGATACAGATGTTTGGAGCAGTGAAATTATTCTGTATAATAATGTAATGGTGGTTATGTGCCATTGTACGTTTCTCAAAACCTATAAAATGCTCCGCATACAGTGAACCCTAATGTAATCTATGGGCTTTTGTTAGTAATAACGTATATGAATATTGGTCCATCAATCATAACAAAGGCACCACACTAAGACAAGATGTTAGTAACAGGAAACATGGAGGGGAGGGAGTATTTTGGAAATGTCAACTTCCATTCATTTTTCTGTAAACCTAAACACACACACACACACACACACACACACACATACACAGTGTTAACTGGAACAGACATGGGAGGAAGAGGAGAGGATCAAGAAAAATGGTTATAGGTTAGAGTTGCAAGCTGAGCAGGGAATGAAATCTTTGAGAAGGACGGACTGAGAAGCAAAGGGCAAATTCTATAAAACCTCTTTGTGAAAAGACAAGATCATTCTTTGGGTTTTTCTGGTACTGGGGATGGAACTCAGGTCCTTTAGCTTGCGCAGCAGGCGGCGAAACCACTGAGCTAAATCCTGGGGCCCTTGACAAGATCATCCTACTCAGTTGAGGGCTCTATTAGGCTTCTTAGTGAATTCTATTTAACATGAGTATTCGTTATTATGTTTAAAATCCTCACATATTCTGATCCTTTTGTCAAAACTGAGATGAGAACACAAAACAAAAGCCAGGCGTGGTGGCGCACGCCTGTAAACCCAGCACTTAGAAGGCTGAAGCAGGAGGACTGCCCTGAGTTCAAGGCCAGCTAGTGCTACCTGGTGAGTTCAAGACCAGCCTAAACTAATAGTGAGACCCTGCCTTAAAAAAAGAGAGAGAAGATAGCTGACTCCCCCAGTCTCTTAAAACCCAGTGGTGCCTGGGGCGTCTCCTGAACTCCATAAGAGGCCATCTAATTGGGGCCGCGCCTTAAGGCATCCTGGGCACATGTCACTCCGTAAAAAGTGTGACCTCTCACCCCTGGTGTGATCTTGGGGCCAAATCCTGGCATGGGCTGTTGGGCCAGCCATGGAGCTGGGGAGCTGCTTCAAGACTTACGAGGACTTCAAGGAGTGCTTCAGCGCCTACAAAAAGGAGAACAGGTGCTCCTTCATTCTCAGGGGCTGCATCTCCGTCCAATTCCACAACCTCAACCATGGCACTTCCATCCACAAGGATATCCTATATGTGCGGGTGAAACTTGTCTGTATTTGTTCCCAGTCACACAGGAAGGGAACATGGGAGGTGGACAAGTACCCAGCATACTTGCTCCTTTGGTACAACGAGAGACTAGATAGACTGTTTATCAGTGAACTAAACACCCAGCATGTCCACATTGATTCCAAAACTGCTGGTCCTGGAGGAGATGCCACTGGCAAATCTCAGAAGACAATGTGCCTGCAGAAACTCCAGCTTGTGCAGCCCTCAATCAAGAGAGACGCTGACATAGCTGAGAAGTCCCCAGTGGAATCATCATTTTGCCTAGATAAGGTACAAGTGCCCTCAAAGCCAGAGCAGGAAAGCATCACTCCTACTGACCTGGCCAAAACAGCAAAAGTGATGAAGAACTTTCTTAAAGTAGATGAAGGTTCCTCAGCCTCCTTCAGTGCGGGCACCAACCAAGACCTGGACTGGCTCAGCTTCCAGACCAGTAAGATGAGTGACCTGTACATCTGCTTCCCAGAGAACCTCTTGCTGCACTGGGTGGAGAACACCCAGGGCCATAGCCTCTATGCTTTCTTGGTGGAGAACAAGGAAAGAGAGGGTCGGGTGGTCCACTTTTCTGTGCTCAAGGCCAAGACGACCACTTCTGTGGCCAAGATGCTGAGCATCTTTACAGAGTTCAACTCTGATTGGCCTAAGGTCAAGGTGGTCTTTGTGGACCTTTCATTCCCTCACCAGGCCATCCTGCAGGAGATCTTCCCTGCTGCCCAAATCCTCCTCTCCACCTACCACACAACCCGGCTCTTGGAGAAGTTGCATCGCAGTTCAGCAGATCCATCCTTTAAAAGGCTCATGAAGGAAGCCCTTCGGGAAGCTGTGTTTGTCACTTCTGATGCCAGCTTAAAAAAATCTCTGTCAAACGTCCCAAGCCCTCCTAGACGAGGATCTCTTCAGCTTCCTGCAGAACCACTGGTTCTCCTGCGAACTGCTGTGGTACATGCATGTCAGGAAGGGCCTGCATGCATGTAACACCTACATGGACAGCCTGGACACTGTCACCAGCAAGGTGTCATGCCTCTTTCAGAAACAGCCATCCCTGCTGGACTGCATCCTCCGCTTTGTGGGTTATGTAGACTTCTTCAATACCAAAGCCTTGAAGAATTTGCCCACAGCTGCTCCCAAGTTACAGAGAATCCGGACTCCAAGCATGCCACCAAAGGCCACAAAGCCTTTTGGAGTTTGTAGGGGGATCCTCACCGGGACACCTTTGGAACAATCAAAGCCAGATTCACAGCAGGTTCAGTTGCTGCTGCAGCCCTTCCAGGGTGACATGCTAGACACCTTGCACCAAAGTGGCTCCGAACTAGCCTACAAGCTGTGCCACAGTGAGTGGGAAGTGGTACAGAATTCCACCCACCTAGTGGAGATGGCTGGTTCCTCAGTGGATGTTCAGCTGCTAGAGGACTCTCACCAGGTTAGCAAAGATGGCTGTAGCTGCAGCTGTTCTTTTCAACAATGGTACCACCTGCCTTGCCGGCATATTTTGGCCCTTCTGCACAATAGCCAGCAGTCACTAGACGAAGCCATGGTATGCCGAAGGTGGCAAAAGAAGTACCAGCACCTCCTTGGGCATAATGGGGAATTCCAGAACCGTGGTGTGATCCTAAACACAGACCAGCCTGAAAATCA